GAACACCGGAGAAGCTGGTTAAGTGTGGGCTGGATGGTGCAACCGTTGGATGGATTCATGGTTGGTTGAAAAATCGTAGCCAACAAGTGCTCGTAAATGGCTCTGCGTCTATGTGGAGGGAAGTCTCGAGTGGAGTGCCGCAGGGCTTGGTCCTAGGCCCGGTGTTGTTCAATGTTTTTATAAATGACCTGGAGGAAGACATAGAGGGGATGCTTATCAAATTTGCAGATGACACAAAGCTAGGTGGGATTGCTAATTCTGAAGAAGACAGAGTCAGGATTCAAAATGATCTAGATAGGCTAGAACAGCGGGCTGAGACAAATAAAATGAATTTCAATAGAGATAAGTGCAAAGTCCTACACTTAGGTACAAAAAATCAAAGGCATAGATATAGAATGGGAGGGACTTGGCTTGACAGCAGCACATGTGAAAGGGATCTAGGTGTTCTGCTTGATCACAAGCTAAACATGAGCCTGCAGGGCGATGTGGCTGTGAAGAAAGCGAATGCAATCTTAGGAGGCATGAACAGAAGCATTGTGTCCAGATCACGGGAGGTGGTAGTTCCGCTCTATGCTGCTATGGTCAGGCCTCACCTGGAGTACTGTGTCCAGTTTTGGGCACCACACTTTAGGAAGGATGTTGACAAGCTCGAGCGTGTCCAGAAAAGGGCAACCAGGATGGTGAGAGGGTTGGAGTCCAAGTCTTATGAGGAAAGGCTGAAAGAGTTGGGTATATTTAGCCTGGGAAAGAGAAGGCTTAGAGGGGACATGATTGCAGTCTTCAAATATTTGAAGGGTTGTCATGTAGAAGATGGAGCAGATCTATTCTCGCTTGCTTCGGATTGCAAGACTAGAGCTAATGGGTGGAAATTACATGGGAGTCATTACCGGCTAAATATCAGGAGAAACTTCCTAACTGTAAGAGTGGTTGAGCAGTGGAACAGTCTGCCTTGGGAGGATGCTCCTTCGCTGGATGTTTTCAAGCGAAGGCTGGACGACCCTCTTTTGGGTATGTTGTAGGTATGTAGGGCTATCTTTCGGCTCTGCTCCTGCAGAGTGCGGGGGGTTGGACTAGATGACCTGCAAGGCCCCTTCCAACTCTAACGTTCTATGATTCTATGATTCTTACCCTGTTGGTTGCACACCCAGAGAAGGGAGAGTTGCACCATAGAAGGGTGGTGTAGATGGAGAGCAATGGTTGCTGAGATTATTAACAGCAAGTATAACTAAACTCATTAACCTGATGAAAGTCTGTCTGGACAGGAATAAAATGAAAGGCAGCCCAAGGCAAGACAACCAGCATGAGCAGCCTGGCCCCACTGGTCAGGCTGATGGTACAAAACCTCAGTTGTGCCTTAAGGGGTTGGGACTCTTCTCAGGCCGGGTTGGAACTGGGGAGCTACAGCATGCAGAGCTTATGCTGCTTCACAGCCCCAAAGCCTTGCCCTAATGTCCTCGTATAGAATGACTTTGGTCGCCATGGCCAGTGGAGAATCCCTAATAACCCAAGATGAGAGTCCTTTTATGTGCACCCAGTTGGCTGGATGACTGAAAGACTATTCCGCAATGCTGGAGTTATGGGATCCAGTCCTGCCTCCACCTCCTGTTTAGTGGCCAATAAGATTGCAGCTGACCCAAAAGATTAAATTAGCCTTATTGCTTTCCCCTCCATAGAGAACAATGGAGGGGATGGGGGCAACCTGTTTGAGGGCCCAAAGAATTGGACCCCCTGGTCCAATGTTCTTCAAACGTGATTGGTATCTTGGGGAGAGGGCTCCTGCAGCTAACCTGCAAGTTTGGAGCCTCTCCCTCAAACTCCCTCCCCCCAGCCCCCAGAATATACCTTATGTTTTCGCCATTGACTTCAATGGCCCATAGGATATAATGGAGCCGAATTGCCATCATAAGAACATAAGAAAAGCCAATGTTGGATCAGGCCAATGGCCCCTCCAGTCCAACACTCTGTGTCACACAGTGGCCAGAAACACCAGGTGCCATCAGGAGGTCCATCAGTGGGGCCAGGACACTAGAAGCCCTCCCACTGTTGCCCCCCCCCCAGCACCAAGAATACAGAGCATCACTTGCCCCAGAGTCCCTATCTATACCTTGTGGCTAATAGTCACCGATGGACCTCTGCTCCATATGCTTATCTAATTCCCTCTTGAAGCCGTCCATGCTTCTAGCCGCCACCACTTCCTGTGGCAGTGAATTCCATGTGTTAATCACTCTTTGGGTGAAGAAGTACTTCCTTTTATCCGTTCTAACCCGACCGCTCAGCAATTTCATGGAGTGCCCACGAGTTCTTGTATTGTGAGAAAGGGAGAAAAGTACCTCTTTCTCTACCTGCTCTATCCCATGCATAATCTTATAAACCTCGATCATGTCACCCCTCAGCCATCGTTTCTACAAGCTAAAGGGCCCCAAGCGCTTTAACCTTTCCTCATAGGGAAAGTGTCCCAAGCCTTTTATCATTCGAGTTGCCCTTTTCTGCACTTTTTCCAAAGCTATAATATCCTTTTTGGGGTGTGGTGACCAGAACTGTACACAGTACTCCAAATGAGGTTGCACCATTGATTTATATAGGGACATTATATTAGCTGATCTGTTTCCAATTCCATTCCTAATAAACCCCAGCATAGCATTGGCCTTTATTACTGCAGTCGCACACTGTCTCGACAATTTCGGTGAGTTATCTACTACAACTCCAAGATCTCTCTCTTGGTCAGTCTCTGCCAGTTCAGACCCCTTCAACGTGTATTTATAGTTAGGATTTTTGGCTCCGATGTGCATCACCTTGCACTTGGCCACACTGAACCCCATTTGCCATGTTGACGCCCACTTGCCCATCCTTGACAGATCCCTTTGGAGTGCCTCACAATCCTCCCTGGTTTTCACCACCCTGAACAACTTTGTATCATCCGCAAATTTAGCCACTTCACTGCTTACTCCCAACACCAAATCATTAATGAACAAGTTAAAAAGCATCGGACCGAGTACTGATCCCTGCGGTACCCCACTGCTTACCCCCCTCCACTGAGAAAATTGCCCATTTATACTCACTCTCTGTTTCCTATTAATTAGCCAGTTTTTGATCCACAAAAGGACTTGTCCTTTTATCCCGTGATTTTTGAGCTTACTTAGGAGCCTTTGATGAGGAACTTTATCAAAAGCTTTCTGGAAGTCAAGGTAAACAATATCTATTGGGTCCCCCTTGTCCACATGTTTGTTCACCCCCTCAAAGAACACTAACAGATTAGTGAGACAAGATCTTCCCTTACAGAACCCATGCTGAGTCTGCCTCAATAGTTTTTGTTCCTTTCCATCCTTGCCTCCTCAATTTTACCCTCACAACCCTGCGAGGTAGGCTAAGTTGAGAGAGTGAGAGATCTAAGGTCACCCAGCAAGCTACCATGGCAGAGTGGGGATATTCAACTTCGGTCTCCTAAATCCTAGTCTGACACTCTATCCACCATGCCTGCTGTATTTGCCTTGCCAGAAGTTCTCTCTTCTACTGGAGATATTGTTCTCCCTTTAGGCCCTAAACACCTCTTTGGGAGAGGCTGCAAGTTTCCTCTAAGACTTCCCCTGTCAGGTTATCCGTGGAGGTGGCAGAGAGACATGCACATGATGCCTCTCCTCCTTCCCAGTGAGCCTGCTCACCACTTGCAGGGATTCCTGTAGGGTGGCACCCACACGACCTCTGCCGCTTGCCTCGCAGTCCTTTGAGTAGGCTGTGTTGGACTACTCCATGTTCCAGTGTGTCTGTGTGGAAGTGCACATGCGCAGGGCCCCCCGGTGGGGCTAGCGCACTATGTGTGGACTGGCTCTTTTCATGTATATGCGGTGTTGTCAGCATTCTGCTCTGAGACTGGCAGCCGGTGCTATTTGTACGGTCTCAATTTGTTTTTTTTAAGTAATTTTTTCTGTTACTTCTCCAAGGGCAAAACACAGTGAGCAGCTTACAGCTACACCATAACAGGACCACAGGACTGCTTCGCTATCTGTGCTAAACCAGTATCCTAGAGGTGTGGTGAAGGTGTCAATCTGTCCAGCATTACTGCATGCAAGGAGAAAATAAACGGGCTGCACCAGTCACTAAGAGGTTAAAAATAAGGCCAAGGCCGATGGTGCAAGTAAAGGAAAAATATATTTTATTATTCAGTGAAAATTCCCTACATATTTTGCCAACAGGCTTCTTCAGGGGAACACGAAGTCTTTCAGCTTCTCTTCAGCCACAGCACAAGAGAAGACCCAGCACCAGCCTCAGCTACGTGTTCCCTCAGGGCTCCAGCTTTAAATGGCCTTCGCATTGGGCTCTCTCTGTGCAGCTGCTGTAACCTGGCGTCTTCTTGCACTGAGCCACCTGTCCAGTTCCAACCTACAGGCTACCATGGACACACGGCGGCCACTGCCCACCACCACTTGGGCTAAAGAACCCACGCGGCATTCTCACAAGCAGCATTTCCCCATCCCACTCAGCTGAGCCGACTGCCGCCTGGGAGGGCAGAAGAGGATAAGGCACACCGGAAGGGCGTTCTATTAAGTGCCCTCTTCAGGGATGCTAGCAGGGAGGTGGGGGGGGGGGGAGAGACAAGTAAACCGCAGGCATGCGCATTCCTGAGGGCACGTGGCCCTTGGGCAACAGTGGACTGAGGTGACCCTATGGAGTTTCCAAGTTCAGAGGTCCCTTGCCATGGCCTGCCCTCCGTGTCACGGCCCTGGTCTTCCCTGGAGGTCTCCCACCCCAATACTAGCCAGGGCTGACCCTGCTTGGCTTCCAAGATCTGACGAGATCAAGCTAGTCTGGGCTGTCCAGGTCAATTTAATGAGCAGGCATTTTATGCCTGAAAACTTAGACCAATGTAAACAATAATAGGCTTTTCAAAGCATACAATGATTCCATTTGGGGTGTTTAGCCCAAAAATCACACTGGAAACTGCCTTACCTGCAAAAAAATTCCCACAAGTCTAGATTCTGAATTCTCTGTATTCTTTTAATCCGACTGCCTTCCATTGTTTTCGCAAAAAGACTAGCAACTTCTTTATACTCATTTGTCTGCTTTTGCAAAGGAATAAGCTGAAAGAGAGACATCAGTAAATCTTCACTGAAATCCATTAACGGTTCTTTTCAACACACTCAATAGATTCTGCTAAAGGCTTACCTGGTAAGGTTCTTCAGGGTTTACATCCTCCCAGTGTGAAGGTATAGGGATTGACTGGTTTTCACAGACATAACTTTAAGTACAAAAGAAGAAATAAACACATTATCACTTCCTATTAAACATTCCCCTCCAATATTATAAAGAGATCTTAAAGACCAGACGATCCCCACTGAAGCTAATGTTCTGCTCCAATAAATAAGTTTAAATTAAGGCTATATGTTAGAGCTGCTGGCACATCCTTGGAACTGCATTCTTTAAACCATTTACAGCATTTTCCAGGGACAAAATCAGTGAGAACCATCCAGGAACGTAAGGTTTCACCTGCACCAGGAACCAGCACTGCAAGAGTGCCCTCTGGAAGCAATGCAGACCCTTCCCCTCTACGCAAATGACCTCCCAGAAGAACAGGGGCCTCCAAATGCACAGCCGACACCACAACTGGTGGCCTTTAGAGCTCACAACATAGTGGTATGGGCGGCGGAGAGGGAAGGGCTACGGCAGAATGCCTGGATGGGGCCACAGTTGCAGCAGTCCTTAGCTAGGTGGGCTGCCTCGTCCCACCACAGACAGAAGAACCAGTGTACGTTCAGGTCTATCTTGGGAATGGGGTAGAGGGTGTGGATCAGGGCATATCTGAGAGAAAAAGGAAAACAGTTCCCTTGGAGAGAGAATGGGAGCTCTTATAAAGGACAGCAACTTGAAAGAAACATGGGGCTTCACAGGCATAAGTGAAACTTGGTGGGATGACTCCCATGGCTGGAATGTAGCCATGAATTGAACAGGCGGGAGGTCTGAAGAGTGCTGTATCAAAAGCATATGCACACCTGTCCAGAAACCCAAGGGTGTGGGGGGGGGATGCGTGGAGACTTTGCTCACAGCCCATCTGGGGAGAAAGCATTCTTGGCTGCACAGCTTTGCCCCAGGACTTAGCTGGGAGGGGGGACGGCCAAGGCTGGGGGTGGGCAGTGTGGCTGACTGTTGTCATGGTGGAGAGAGAAAGGGGGGGAGATGGGGCTGCGTCAGCAAGGAGCCGTCTAGGGATGGGGCACGCAGCTGGCGGCTCACCTGCTGCTGTGCCCCTGAACGCTGCACACACACCCCCGCCTCTGTGCGGAAGCAACCTTGAACACCCAGAGAAGTGTCCCAAAACAGACTGGAAAGTAACGTCTGCCTTGTTTTTTTCAAAAAGCAAGACTGAAGCTAGCCGTGTAGTTCACCTAGTGATTCAAAGACAAATTAGAAGAAAATCCCATTAAATGTACTGATCTTTATTTATTTATAAGGCAAAGCTCCGTTGCTTGCTTGCGCAACCATCCCACGGGTGGAGTGAAGCAAGGAAGGGGTGCGCGGCTGTGCGCTGCTGTTCCGCTCCCACTGAATGGGGCGGGAGCAAGAAAGCTTGCGGGTGGATTGCGTCCAGAGGTGTCAAGCAGACTTCAAAACTACTGGAACTGCTTTCAGTGGTAATCACTCCGGGGGGGGGGAGGAAGAGCCATGTTACTCTGCTGCAACAAAATCAAACAGAAGTCCAGCGGCACCTTTTTCAGAGTCATCACGAATTTGGGGCTGTGACTTAGTGGGAAAGCCGGGTGCAATCCCCAGGCCTCTGCCGGGGACTCTGGAGTGCCTCTGCCAGCCTGAGTGGATGCCACTGACCTTGAGGGCCCGGCGGCCAGGCTTAGGAGGACCCGGCGGCTTCAGCAGATGCTTTTCAGCAGACCTCAGACCTCTGCGGAAGGGAGCGCTGGCTCACAAAAGCCAGAATAAATGTATTGATCTGTTAAAGTGGCACTGTTTAATTTTCTTTTCAGTGGTGCAAAACAAAGGATAAATATTTTCCCTTCTCAGATATTTTATAAATTGTATTAAGATATTGCAAGATGTCTGCCTTTGGATCTGGTCCTGTACGAAGCATGAAAGTCTAGCTTCCCCAGGCCGGCTATCTTGTGCACTTCAAGAGACGTGCGAAGAGGGGAACAAGGAAAGCTCAATTCACTCTACCTGAAAGCAGTGATGGAAAATGGAGCTCGTTTTATGGGACGTTGTTTTCCAGTTGTTAGGTTAGTCTGCTTCATCCCTATGTATCAAATCAAAGTTAGTCAAGGCCTGGAAAACGGACCACACTTTGTCAAGGACAGCTTTTCAGAGCTGTACCATACAAAAGTTATTACCCCCAAATTATGCTATATATCTGTTGAAAAACGTGCCCATTAAAGTGAAATTGCACCTCTCTCTTTGAATTTAACTGCTGCCATAAAAGACTGAAGGCGGATTAAGGAACACTACAAAAAACACTCCATTTCAGCTCGTTACCACCTTCTAGTCACCAACGATACGCTGTACTCTGTCCTTCCCTAATGCAACACATATGCTCCGTTCCTTCAGAGCCCATCGGTCAGCTGAGAGCAGGCACAGGTTCCCAGCTGGTCTTCCATCCAAGCACTTGCTCAGCTTCATCACGATCAGGGCATCATATACTTGGGAGACCCCGGTTTGAATCCCCACCCGGCCACGGGTGCTTGCTGGGCAATCTTAGGCCAGTTCCCAGAGGCAAAACTGCCCAGTTCAGCTTTGACTGGTGTAGACCTCCACGCGTCACCTTACGTTTGCCTCCAGAATTCTTAATACAATGACTAATCAATTCCTTCACTCTCATCTCTTATCCTACAAGGGGTCTGTTAAACATGCTCGGTGTCTAAGGCACCTGCTGGCCTTTGTAATTTCAGTGGAGAAACAACATTTGTTTTTCCTTGGTCAAAGGAACTAGGAGCAACCTGACACCAACCTGCTTGCCTGCCTGCCTGCACTAACACATGAATGAGCAGGGCAAGAACAGATCTCGAAATTCATGGCCTGAAACATCTTCCCACCCACTCCCACCTCTTTTATAATTTTCTAATATCCAGACTGATGAAAAGTTCTAGCGAACTGGAAAGCCTGCACAATCTTTGGATCATTAGGCCTTAAGCACATTGTTCTTTAAAATGCTGTCTATTCTAGAAATGAAGATTCGTATTTGTCAAAATGAGCACAGTGCATTTCTGTTTGAAGTTTTGTTAATGTTAAATAAGTTCTGTGATTTTTATGGTTTGGATCCAGACTAAACTGGCAGTTTTCACCAATTACCCCTTCCCACTGCAGGGCCCCTCTTGTCATCCCTGTCTGTCCCACATGTACGAAATTCAATGTGCTCTTTTGGTTAGTTGGAGCTGCAGGAGCGCTTACTGACATGTGTCAGCTGTGCCAGCAATAACAAGGAGGGGAACAGAAAAGGATTTGGGAGTTTCCATGCAAGCAAGGCAGACAACCATGCTGTCTCTATAAGGACGCAAGGCTCTGCTGCTGGCGAGTTGCTCAGGGTGTGAGAGATACAACAGAAACAGGAATACAGAGACTAACAGATCCAGATGGTCAGCCATGTTGGTCTGAAGCAGTAGAACAAATTTAGAGTCCAGTCAGGCACCTTTAAGACCAACGAAGGTTTATTTCAAGCTTTCATGTGCAAGGCCCACTTTTTCAAATACACGGGAATGGTAGATGAGGTTCTAAACTTATAGACAGGGACTTAACCGCAAATTAACATGTACCATGATGATGTTTATGATATGCAAAGTGAAAAACTAAATAACAAGTTAGGGTTATAAGGTCAACAGTTGTAAAGCAATAAATATGTCAAAATAGCAGATAAATGTCTAAAGGTGTTTTTTCTAATTGTGGGAAGTTACATAATCTTAATTATCTCCTCTCAGGTGTGGAGGGCACTTAACAGAGTATTTTGAGCTGGGTGTAACGTTGTCAGCAGACATCGCAATATTCCTTGCATTCGGCATTCTAATATACTCTTCTGAAAAAGAAATACATTGAAATACAGAGGATTTATAGTCCTTCTTTTAGTGTATTTCTTTTTCAGAAGAGTATATTAGAATACTGAATGCAAGGAATATTGGGATGACTGCTGACAACATTGCATCCAGCTCAAAATACGCTGTTAAGTGCCCTCCGGGCCTCAGAGGAGATAATTAAGATTATGTAACTTCCCACAATCAGAAAAAAAACCTTTAGACATTTGTTATTTTGACACATTTATTGCGTTACAACTGTTGACCTTATAAGCGTAACTTGTTATTTAGTTTTTTACTTTGCATATCATAAACATCAGGTACATGTTAATTGGCTGTTCAGCCTCTGTCTATACGTTTGGACTGTTACCTTCCATTCCAATGTATTTGAAAAAGTGTGCCTTGCACACGAAAGCTTATACCATGAACAAACCTTTGTTGATCTTAAAGGAGCCTGACTGAACTCTAAATTTTTTATAAAGACTAATAGTTAGAATTGTAGACAACTTTACAATGAAAAGTAACAGTCAACTTTATCACAAAGAATAGCGGAAATTATTCCATGGGTGTAAATGTCTTACGAATCAGAATGGGAGTGATGAGGGAACAAAAGTGTCTAGGATTGTTTCTGTGGAATTGTAAACAGACTGCACTCAACAAACATGGAAAATGGGAAAGGGTACGGTCAACAAAGAAAGAGGAGAGCCACAGGGGAGGGGCCAAACGGAAGGCGGTGCGCTTAGAAAAGAAAGGAGCTGCGTCAAAGGGGGAAAGGAGCCCAGTTACACTCTGTTGCCCAGGGGGCAAGCTCTGGTTGGTCAGGAGGATAAAACGGCAGAGGGGGAAACGGTTCTGTAAACTGCTTTGGTCCTCACTGGGGGAACACGGCTGGGTATAAATATCTAAATAAGCCACGTCTAAATCTTTTCCAGTGGGTGTTCCCTCTTGTGTGATATGGACATTCATTTTTCAAGTAAAGAAAAACAAGATAAGATAGTTTTTGTTAGCTGCAGCAAAAGGCTTAGGTGTGGTTAACAATCGTACACACCAAGTAGACGGCCACAGTACAAGCAAGATCCTCCCAATCGTGCCAGTTTTGGTTCAGCCCCTCAACGTCGGTTGCTGACAACCTCCCACAACCTGTAAAGGTATAAATACAGACATATACCTGAAAAGTCTAATCTGTAGGTAAATTTTGCAGTTGTGAAGCAAACAGAGTCCTGTGGATTCATTTTGAAGCTCCTTTCAATGTCTTCTGTGCTAACTGAACAGTGAGTACTGGAATCAGTCTTCAAAATAAGCAGACAACACGTTGTGAAAGATCTTATACTAGGGCCTTAACACTTAGTCTGTAAATAACATTTTAGCATACTACACATACTTGATCACAGTACTTCTTCCAACAGCCTTGCAGCGTAGGACTACAATGCTACTGCCCTCCTGCATGAGAGACGCATTCAATGCCACTTCTTGAGAGCGGAGGTGAGTTCATGTCCACTTCTGCTACATATGCTCCACACCAGCCTCTTCCCCAACCTCTGCCCCAAGGGGAAACCCATCCCTACTCTGCAATTATCCAAATTAACTTCGACTAAACAGTTTGCATTATTTATTTAACACTATATTTATATGTTAAGAACTGAAGTGACAAGAACAAAATGAAAAGAACAAGGGCACAGAAACTCCAGTGGAAATAACACAAAAACAACTGTAAGGAGGTGAACTCCAAAAAGAAGGGGGAGAATGCAGCAGAGGACCCGAAAAAGCTGCCCCTGACTAGTGGAGGCCGTCTTGCTCAGAAGCGAGGTTTGGTTTAGGTGTTCAAGCACTGCCCTGGCCTGGAGGGCCCAGCCCAGCCCCACCTAGTCAGATCTCGGAAGCTCAGCAGGGCCGGCCCCGGTCAGGCCATGGACGGGAGGCCACCAAGGGAGTCCAGGGCTGCCATCACAGAGGCGGGCCATCGCAGAATACCGCTGAACGTGTCTTGCCTTGGAAACCCCACGAGAGGTCACCGTAAGTCAGTTGTGGCTTGATGGCCAAAAAAGCAGGAAAGAAAATCAAACAGCTAATGGAGAGTTGAATGTTTTCTTACAACTGTTATATGTTAGAAGTCCCCTACAACATGTGTGTGGGCCTCCCATACAGAATACGCAGCCCACTGGCAACTATGGTTCACCAGTAACTCTATAATAAAGCGTCCAGCTTTCTGGCTTGAACTGCAAATGTGCTTGAGTTGCCTGCTGCTCCTTTTTGAGAAATTATGTATGGTATGGGAAAGATAAGATACACTCATATTTTGGCAGACACATATTAAGAGGATCTCTAAATAAAATCTGGACTAAAATCAAAGAGATCTGGTACAGGAGAACTCCAAGATGGGTCGCACCATTGGAAGCTTTTATCTTACCTTCAGTAACAACAATGAACTTAAGAGAAAGTTACCAAACACTACTAAACAAAAAGAATCAGTTGAAAACAGAAGAAAATTTGAGACAGGAAAACAACTTGTCATGGTGGGAGCAGATAACATTAAGAGACAGATACAAAAAAGACATGTTAAGAGGTTTCGAAGACCAAAATAACGAACTGGACAAAATATGGCTCTCCTCCAATGATAAACTAGTTCAGAAACTGTATAATCTGTTATTAACGGATTTCATGCAAGATGAGGATATTAAATCTGCAATGATCACCTGGATGAGAGACATAGGGAGACTAGATGAAGAACAATGGGCAAGTATATGGAAATCGGTAAAATACATGAAAGCGGTAGCATACAAAGAAAACGTGTATAAGATGTTCCACAGATGGCATTGGGCACCTGATAAGCTGGCCAAATGTTATAGGGGATACTCAGATAAATGTTGGAAATGTAAAGTCCATAAAGGAACTTTCTACCATATGTGGTGGGAATGCAACAAGATTCAAAAATTCTGGAGAATAGTCAGGGAAGCAATCCAAGAAAGTCTGGGGAAAAACGTGGCATGAAAACCAGAGATATATCTGCTAAATATGATCCCGAAAGGGTATAATGAACAGGATGCATATTTATTTAGCTATGTTATAACGGCTGCCAGATTGTTAATAGCTCGACAATGGAAAACGGACAGCGTACCTACCAGGGAAGATTTGTTAATTAAAGTACTAGAACTAGCCAGAATAGATGATTTAAGTTTAAGGTTGCAAAACAAAAGTGAGAAGGTACATAAAAGGAGATGGAAGAATGTATATAAGTGGATAGAAGATCAGTTAGAAATATAATAGAAAAGTTCTACCACAGACTGGTATTATGATATAATTATGATGTAATATTACCAACTAGATACTTAATCAACTGAAAGAAGGACTCTGATATGTAATGTAATGTAACAAAAGTTGATGAAATGCAATGATGTGTTATATTCTTTTTTTAAAAAATAAAAAATTTAAACAACAAAAGAGAACAAGAGGAGGAGGATTGGGTTTATTCCCCGCCCTTCACTCGGAGTCTCAGAGCGGCTTACAAACTCCTTTCCCTTCCCCTCCCCACAACAGACACCCTGCGAGGTAGGTGGGGCTGAGAGAGCTCTGACAGAAACGGCTCTTTTTCAAGGACAGCTCTGACAGAACTATGGCTTGCCCAAGGTCATCCAGCAGCTACAAGTGGAGGAGCAGGGAATCAAACCCGGTTTTCCTAGATTAGAGTCTGCGCACTTAACCACTACACCAAACCGGGGAAACTCCCATTGCTGAGCTTTGCTGAGAGGCCTGATTGAAAAACTGTGGTTGCTAAAATGCCAAGCCTAGATTTCTCATACCTACCACAGACTACTTCACACTTCAAACCCCGTAACCATCTACATGCTGCCTATCCATGCATTCATGTCCTCCGTTAACAAAGAAAGCACCTTTGGATAAACATGTAGGACAGAAGACATTTTACACTCAATTATCTTTCCATAAACAAGAATAATCACCATTAGATAGACCTGGGCGGATATAGACAGTGAACAAGAACAGAAGATGAGCCTCAAATCAAGTTTAACAGCTAATATATGGTTAAATCTAAAATCAATTCCAGGTTATAGCATCTAAGGGAAGAGGAGACCAGACAAGCAAGGCCACTCTTAGGTCTACCTCCTCTGGAGCTAAGTATGGCAGGACTAACAAAGGTTACATAATCTGGAAAATAGATACGGTCTCTGCACCAGGTTTCTTGCAGCATAATAATATTGTAATTACTAATAAATTCCTGGACCTCAGTAGCTGAAATGCGGGAGAGGATATTTACATGCATGCCCAGAACCTATGAAGAGAAGCTTGATGACCCCAGGAAAAATGGACTCCAGTCCAGCTCTGTTCATCGGAGACCTTGGGCTAGATGTTGCTCCTGACGAACACACACGTTCAGTGACACACCGGGCTGCCTACTGTGTTTTCTGCTTCAGACAAGATTTTCAGCCTCACTCACCCACCAGGAGCAAACTGGGATTATGATCATTGTTGAATGGTATGTTCTATTTACATATTGAAATGAATACCTCAAACATATGCCATTTCCCACATTCAGCCAAGTAAAACCAGCCCCACTGGGTGTCAGATGTATCCATTTCCTCAAGGTGACTTGCCACATTTTGAGGGAATTCATCACCACCTTGAAACATTTCCTGAAATAGTAAAACACTTCATGAGGATAATTCTAATCATGTAAAACTTCTACTTGTCTGCAGTTTTCAACATTTCAGTATTTTCTATACTTAAAAAGAGATGTAAAGTTCCTGCATAGTCCTTATGACCTATGCCACAGAGGGAAAAGCAGATATAAACTTTTTTTAAACTAGCTGCTACCAGGAGTATGGGAAGAGCTGGATATGGGCCTGAGTAATGCACGGTTCCACCCTCACGTCTCCCTCCACATTACTGGGCACACCACAGAAGCCTGTGACCTCTTACCACCTGGACAAGCCTAAGAGTGGGCACTCTATGAGGGCTTGAGCACGGAGATGAATGTGTAGGAGGGCCACGGGCCACGAAGGGCTTTAAAAACCAGCACTTTCCCTGACTTGGAGAGCCCAGGAAAACCGACCTTGTCAGATCTCAGAAGCTAAGCAAGGTCTGGCAAGGACTTGGGTGGGAGACCTCCTTGGAAGGCCAGCAGTCGGGAGGCGGGGGCAGGCTTGATTCAGCCACCTCTCTGAATAGCCTCCAGGCCCCCCGTAGGGGTCAGTCACCAGAGGCCGCCAGGACTTCCGGGTGCACACACAGTCAGTCACCAGAGGTTGCCATGAACACTGGACCCACTGAGGCCCCCAGCCTCCCAAAGCCTGGTGTCTTGAACCTTCTTCATGGACAAGGTTCCATATCAGCAGCCGACAAATTCCGTTGGGAAGACTAAGAGCACCTCGGACTGCCTGGCCAGTCAAGCCCTTCCTCTGGAAAGGAGAACAAGCGAACTGTTTCTGTTGGCAGGGCGGCCTCTGCAACACATGGGCCAGAGGAACAGGGTGACGACCCACCCCCACCGGGCTAGGCAAGAATCCCTCTCTTTACTTCAGGGACGCCCGAGCTATTCTTTGGGGTGGGGGGTGGGGGGGGGATCATCACACACACACACACACACACACACACAGAGAGAGAGACGGGCTTCCCAGAAGGACAAGCGCTGATGCGGCGCCGCCCCCTCTGCGAGAAACCAACCGTGACGTTTGTGTTTGAAAAGGCAGCGGCTGAGTCAGGGGGAGGGGGAGGGATGGAAGTCACCCACCCCCACACACCCCCCCACACACGCCCCCTTT